GACCCACTGGGCGAACTCGAGGGCGTTGGGGACGGTGGCGCTGAGCAGAACCAGCTTGACGTGCTCGGGCAGCAGGATCAGCACCTCCTCCCACACCACACCCCGCTGGAGGGCACAGGGGGGGTCAGGGGACCCCAAAAAAACCCTAAAAACCACCCCAAAAACCACAGAAACCCGAAAATCCCCAAAAAAACCCCAAAAAAATCCCAAAAACCACCCCAAAACCACTGCGGGCAGAGGATCAGCACCTCCTCCCACACCACACCCCGCTGGGGGCATGGGGAAAGGTCAGGGGACCCCAAAAAAACCCTAAAAACCACCCCAAAACCCACAGAAACCCGAAAATCCCAAAAAAAACCAAAAAAAAACCCCAAAAACCACGCCCAGCAGCAGGATCAGCACCTCCTCCCACACCACACCCCGCTGGGGGACACCGGGGAGAGGTCAGGAGACCCCAAAAACCCCCAAAAAAACCCCAAACCACCCCAAAAACACTAGAAACCCACAAATCACCCCAAAATCCCCCAAAAAAACCCAAAAAACACCCAAAAACCACCCCCAGCAGCAGGATCAGCACCTCCTCCCACACCACACCCCGCTGGGGGGCACAAGGAGGGTCAGGGGACCCCCAAAACCCAGAAAAACCCCAAAAAAATAACCCCAAAACACCAGAAACCCAAAAACCACCCCAAAATCCCCAAAAAAACCCCAAAAACCACCCCGGGGAGCAGGATCAGCACCTCCTCCCACACCACACCCCACTGGGGGGCACCGGGGGGGTCAGGGGACCCCAAAAACCCCAAAAAAACCCCAAAATCTCCACCTCATCATCGTTGACGTAGTGCACCTCGTCGAAGATCACCCACTCCAAATCCCGGATGGCGTCGGAGCCGTTGTACAGCATCGACCTGAGGGGATTTGGGGTAAAAAACTCGGATTTTGGGGCTAAAATTTACCAAATTGGGAATTTGGGGTCAGAACCCATGGATTTGGGATAAAAACCACGGGATTTGGGGTCAGAACCTCTCAAATATTGAGACCTGAAATCAGAACCTCCCAGATTTTGGGATTTATGGGTCACAATTCCCCAAATATTTGTCCCGAACCCCCCAAATTTTGGGATTTTTCCCCCAAATGTTGGGATTTTCCCCCCAGATTTTGGGATTTTTTTCCCCAAATGTTGGGATTTTCTCCCCAGATGTTGGGATTTTTTCCCTCAACCGCCCCAAATGTTGGGATTTTTTCCCCCAACCCCTCCAGATTTTGGGATTTTTTCCCCAAATTTTGGGATTTTTTGCCCCGAAGCCCCCAGATTTTGGGATCTTCTCCCCAGATGTTGGGATTTTTTCCCCCAACCCCTCCAGATTTCGGGATTTTTTCCCCAAATTTTGGGATTTTTCCCCAGATTTTGGGATTTTTCCCCCAGATTTTGATATTTTCTCCCCAGATTTTGGGATTTTTCCCCAGATTTTGATATTTTCTCCCCAGATGTTGGGATTTCCCCGCTGACCGCAGGATCTCGGTGGTCATGACCAGGCAGGCGGCCTCGGGTCGCAGTTGGACGTCGCCCGTCAGCAGCCCCACGTCCCCAAAGGTGACCCGGAAATCCCGAAACTTCTGATTGGACAGAGCCTTGATGGGGGAGGTGTAAATGGACCTGGGGACATTGGGGACAATGACAG